ACAAAAAATTTTCGTTGGAGCTCAGTTGACTTTTGAAGAAGAGTAATTTGACCTGTTGAAACTCGTTGAGAGTTTTGAAAAGAAGGTGGAGAAAGATTACTACATTTGAGGATTTTATCCCGTTGGGATCTGTTGAATCTTTTGTGAATTTTGGTCCGTATATGACCTATTGAGTCTTTTGGATCTTAGTTCGTTGGTGGCTCATTGGGGTCTGTTGGGACTTTGGTGATTCATTGAAATTCGTTGGAACTTTTATGGAAAAAGTGGAACTTGTTTGTTATTTATCTGCTATTTACCATGTTGGATACACGCAAAGTGACATTTGTAAGTGTGTCTTTGTATCCCACATCGAAAGTTTATAAAGAAATCTCTCCTTGTTGTTATTATAAATAGAATGGGTTTAATTGAATTAAAATGTGTTAAGGGCAACAGCCCAAGTGCCATATGCATTAATTCAAGAGAGTTTTGGGAGCTACACTCCAGTTTGAGAAGAGTTTTGGTTAGGTATCAAACAAAAGAGTAAGTTATGGGCCTTTGGACTATTAAGCATTTTGTACTATTTAAACTCTTTTGTGTTTTCAGTATTACATTCCTTTTGGATTTAGGAATTATTTCACAAGATTTTATACTCTCTTTTTTGTATTCTCTTTCTGTTATAGTAAATGTGCTACCCTTTCACCCGTGGACGTAGGTTAATTGGACCAAACTACGTAAAAATTCTATTTTCTCTATTTGATTTATTTGTTTTGTTATTGTCATTATTAAATTGCCAAAAATGCTATTATTCTCATTTGTCAATTTTTGGGACCAGACCTAACATTGAGGAATGATCACCAATTTAAATATTAACCTCATTATTCCGATAAGTTGGTTCTCACAGCATCCATTTTCCTTTAAATGAGGAGACGTGGATATTTTCTCTTAAGTAGTTTAAGACAACATGTTGATAATAAATTTAACAGTAAATCCTTCTTTTGTAATAACATATAAACATAAAATATAATTCTATCCACCAAGACATATGGACAAGGGATAATAATGGAATGCAGAGTTACATGTATGTCCAAGGACCAATCCGGGATGCTAACGTGTTAAGATTTGTTGGCACGAAAAATACGCGCATGGCGGAAGCAATTTTAACACATATAAAAACATGTGGAAGAAGAGGAGAAATAAGCTCACAATCAAACTTCAATAATTTATTTAACTCAAAAGCCAACAATAACAAATATTAAGTCGTTTCACTCACGACAACTCACAAATCTCAACTATGAAATTTTTGCTCAAACCTACTTTCAAAACTCAACTCAACTCAACTCAACGCTTCAAGACTTAACCTAACACTACTAGTAGTATTTATGGACCAATTTGTTTCTTAATTATAAAGTACAAATCCAAACCGACTAATGAATCAAGAAACAACTCGTACTAAGATTCGGACAAGGAAACCAATGACACATAGGAAACTGACTATTCAATTAGATTCGGACTCAAACTATCACTGCCTAAGCCTTTGAAAAGGAAACTAACTAATAACTAGTACTAGTCTTCAAACAACTCTGGAACTTAAAGGAAACTAAAACAATTAGGAAATAAAATAGCTTAATTTAACTTCCATTATTGCCTCTCTTAAACTGAACTCTTCATTATGGTCACCTTCAATGCCATCTCGAGTTTGAATTTCCATGAACAACTCGGTCGCTATATAAACAACATTCAACCCCAAATTATAATTGGTTTTTAATTTCATCTTTACATGCGGTAGTGGACGAAACTTGTTCTTCTCGAATAATTTTTTTGCCTGATCACTTCTATCAAAAAAGTCGAACATGTTCACCCATACTCCATTCAATGCTCCATAATTCAATTCATGCATATCACTAATAAAATCTCCCAAAATAAAAAATCATAATTTCCGCCACCAAGATTTTTAACATCACCATATTTTTGTGTTGATTGATTCACATTGACAACTGCATCAACCTTAGCAATGTCACAATTTTCAACTAAATCGTCTATATCATAATTGATATCAACCAATTCCATCACATGATCTTCAAAAAATTCATCAATCTCGACAAAATTAACAATTGCTATGGTGCCACGATTTTCAGACACATCTTTAACTTTATCAATGGTTCACCTTTTTCCTCAACCACACATGAGATTTCTTCTTGAATTACAAATTCTTCATCTTCATGTGCACTCACAACTTCTATAATTTTTTCTTTCTTTGACTCATCAAAATATTCTTTTTGTTCTTCTTTACCACAAATTTCTTCTTCTCCACCATGACCATAGGAATTTATCAAAAATTTTCAAGCCTCCTTTGCTATCTTTATATGTATGAATTTTTTCACTACATGTAACTAGATTTGGATACTGAGATAGTAAAATGTCTTGTAATTGAACTGTCTATTCCTCTGTAATTGTTTAACTGCATCGCTTGATAATTCTATACTTGCTATAAGTTCCGTGAACCCCTTTTGGATAATATTCCAAACTCCAATATCTTTGAAAAAATTCTTCATCATTGACCTCCAAGTCTCAAAATTGTTTTTACCATCAAGATAAAAACAGGACATTGTTGTAAATAATGTGATCCATATTTTAATTATTTAATCTCCACTCAATTAGGAACAATTCTGCGTCCAAATTGTCAAAAACAAATCTTCTGACCCTATGCTCCAATTTTGCAAACAAGTCCTAGGATCAAAGTTTAAATCTCTGATACCACTTGTTGGCACTAAAAATACGCACATGACGGAAACAATTTTAACACATGTAAAAATATATGGGAGAGGAGGAGAAATAAACTCACAATCAAACCTCAATAATTTATTTAACTCAAAACTCAACAATAGCAAATATCAAGTCGTTTCACTGACGACAATTCACAAATTTCAACTATGAGATTTTCGCTCAAATCTACTCTTGAAACTCAATTTAACTCTTCAAAACTTAACCTAGCACTACTAGTAGTATTTATAGACCAATTAGTTTCTTAATTATAAAGTACAAATCCAAACCGGCTAACGAATCAAGAAACAACTCGGATTAAGATTCGGACAAGAAAACCAATGACACATAGGAAACTGACTATTCAATTAGATTCGGACTCAAACTATCACCGACTAAGCCTTTGAAAAGGACACTAACTAATAACTAGTACTAGTCTTCAAACAACTCTGGAACTTAACGGAAAGAATCAAGGTACGTGCACAAAATGCGTGAGTATAGCAATTGTACGTCATTAAAAGAGTAATTTCACTTTGCACCTCTAACTTGTATCTAGTTATTACTTTGCACTATAAACTTCAATTTTGGATACATTGCACCCTGAACTCTCAAAATTATCAAATTTGAGTCCAATTTTTTTTCCACTACTAAGCAAAAGTAATGGAAATAAAGATTGTCTACACAACACGCAAAGTGTAACAATTGCAATCAGTGAAAGATAAAATGATAGTCCCTCCTTCACCGTCAAATTTGGTCCCATATATCGAGTCTTTGGGTTAAAAAGAAACATGATTGCCTGACAAAGTAAAACAAGGCTAACAATAAAAAATTAGAAATTCAACTAGAATTTTTCAAGAATGAACAAATCTAAGACTTAGGATAAGATTCTTAGGATGTGCCAAACACCAAATTAGTGATCAAAACTAGTTCTTCGTATTTGGAGGATTAGCATCACTAATTCCTCTAGACATGATACTCATGGTAGGAGCATATTTTTATTCTTTTTATAGCAACTTAGAGATTCCAAATTTTTTCAATCCATTGACCTCAAACTATGGCCTAAATATAGGGAACTAGTGAACACGTTGCTAAACTCCACTAGATAAATGATTAACTCTAAATTACAATTAAAGAACAAGAATCTCCGATTAAAAAACTATAATGTACTGCTGCTGCTACTAATCTGCTAGATATTAATTTCTAGTTGGTTTTTTCAGACAAAGGAAACTGATGAAAATTATACATTTTTCCTTATTAATTTCCATAATTTTTCTTATGGTGTTAATGATTGGATTCAAATAGGACAAATCCCAAAATTTAGAGTGCAACGTAAACAAAAATTAAAGTTTAGAGTACTAATTAAGAATCAAATATGAGTTAAGAGTGCAAAGTGGCATTAGTCTTTTTTATTGATGTCCTTAATTGTGTTAGTTTTGCTCACAATGTTAACTGATTGGATTCAAATGGAATGGATTTTGAAAGCTTAGAGTGCAATATGTTCAAAATTAAAATTTAAGGTACAAAGTAAGAACTGCATACAAGTTAGATGGTGCAAATTAAAATTAATTCTTATTATTTGATAAGTTCTTGTCTTCCTCTAATATTCTGCGATACCTTCCTATATACAAAGTTGGTCATGAATAAGAAGTAGATGACCTGATAGATGATGCAATTCAGTGGCTAAGCCTGATACTTTCTCCAGTAGAGGGCACAACTTACATTATTCCTAATATTTTTCTATTGTTTTACCTTCAGTCTCACACTTACTAGAATTACCTTTTCCCAATTTCATAGTTGGCCATATGTATCCAAAATTTTAACTTCACCAAAATTTCAATGTTGTTACATGAGGAAGATATCTATAACTCGTAAAAGTACAAAATGATATATGCATATTTGCATTAAAAAGGCGATACATTTCTACTAATTACAACAGCATATAAAAATTGCTTTAAAATTTTGGAATACAATACTAAAGCTTTTGAAAGTAATTATGTGTAATATGTTGATAGTATATATACAAGTGGGTATGAATGCATACCACATCACCTCACTGATTTGAACTAAATTCATCAACATTCGATTACTGGAAGTGCAATAGTAAGACATGAGTTTACACTTAGTCCATTAATTCTCCAAAAAAGAAAAGAATTAAGGAATATCTTTTCTTGAAATAGAAAATATTTTCAGAGTGTGAATTTGTTTCTCTTTTAGATTGACAAATTAATTCGGTAGGTTTACTTCTCTCTTTTTCACTCCAGATAAACACTGCACAAGCTTTCATATCTGTAAAACAATCCGTACAAAATTTCTACATTCTTATACAAAATTGTTTTATCAGTCATAGTTTTGTTACTATGTTTTGATACTATTAAAGTTGAACAAACTGGTCATATATTGTTCTTTGGGAGTTAGTAGTGGTAACATGGTGAGATAGACAAGTCCAAGTTAACATGACTGTCCTTGGAAGAATAGGGAAGAAGGTCAAAAGAATTGCTGGAGGCACTAGACTGCGAGACTAGACGACCATTTGAGGACCACAAGCTTGGCTCTTTTCCACATTCAACAATGGCTTGTAAAAAGTCAAAAATTCCGGTCTGACTTTCTGTCAAAGTATTACAATTTGTACTACCTTGTATGACCTGCAAATTTTCAATTAAAACCCAAGTTAGTTTGCATAATTCTTCATACACTTTTCCCTAAAATGCGAATTATACCCCGTGTTTTTTATACCTTACCCCTTCAAGCTCTAAATCTTGCCCTATATGTGTGCGTTTTCAGATTTCTTGGTTATGCCCTAGTTACTCGTAAGCTTAAGCATTGAGCTCATATCAAAAGGCTAACATGTGGATAAATGCTCCCTTACTGTGATAGGAATATTATGGCACTTTTAGCAGTCAACAACAAAAGTTTCATAATTTTAGTCACATGTCATAAAGGGCGTATGTTGTTCGTATGCTGTCAAGAATTGAGAGCAAGGAAAAATCAGTAGCATGCCCAAAAACAATTGGGGCAAAGTGCACGTAGCATCTTTTATATTTCAAGTAAGTTTGGGTAGGGTTGCTAGATAGAGATCAGTTTTATGTAGGACCAAGTTGCAACCTTAAACTTAATAGATATTCTCAGATTACACCTCAAAATTAAATTCTAGATATTTTTGCACTATAAAATCTTCCATCCAGCCCACTTTAGTCCAATAGTAAAGAAGTTAATAAAGGACAAAATGTGAACTTGACAGTTTCTTCAATTAGTTCTACTATGCACCTTAACTTTCAATTAATTCCCGTATGCCACACCCAAACTTCATAGGTGGTAGTCCATTTAAAAATAGTACCTTAAAACAATCTTTATGTCACCAGAGGAACAATGGAATGAAAATTTATGACTACTGGCAGTTTGAAACATTAGTGCGATTCCTAGTATTTGACACTCATCTGCCTATGATTTGAGTAATTTGTTTGAATACTGTAACAACTAAAGTGAAACAAATAAAACACTTGGCATCTTTGAGGAATAAAGTGCCTCAAAAATGAAATTTGACATGGAATATGATTACTTTTGTATAGTTTAAGGGTGCAGTGTGATGCTAAGTTTCTGTTTTCATCAAGTTTTCAAACGCAGTAAACTATCAGAACAAGTGGGGAAAATAAAAGAGGTCAGAGTTAAATTTTCTAAAATCAAATTTACAGTGCAATGTAAGAATCGATTTAAATTTCAAGGGTACAAATTGAAATTAGTCCTTTTATGCAGATACGTACATTAAATCTGTTGCAGTATAAGTAGATTTATTCTTTTTAACACTATGAGTAGAAGTTACCGTGGAATTCTCTAAAAAAAGAAAAAAATTACCTGGGAATCGAATAGAGGATCCCCTTGATTGATAGTTTTAGTTTTGCCTTTGCAAGTGATCGAGCTCCCTGATTCCTTCCTCTTTAGTGGTGGTTCTTGATCTTTGCCAACTTTGCTGCAAAAGCAACAAGATTTTTATACGTTTTCAGAATAATGAGTAGGACTTTGCTGGATATAATTACGTATATATCCCACTATTTATGGGTTACTGCTTGTATTCAATTGAAACTGGAAAAAGAAAAACCAAAACAAATGTCCTCATCTTGTATAAAACTCAAAATAAGTAAGGAAAAACGAAAAGAAACATGAAGACATCTACTTACCATAGCACTCATTCGATTGAGTGTTTGTTTGTTTGTTCCCTTTTTTTTTTTTCAAAGATGTCAGTTGTTCAAAATTCACTACTTTTGTACTACTTGAGATAGGGGTGGGCAAAATTATCCACTAACTCGAAAACCCATCATATCCGATCTGATTTAATTCAAAAATTAAGATATCCGATTTGTATTATTTGATTGGATCAAAAAAGGGCCAAGTACCCGCTAAAATGCAGGGCGAGTGAGGATCACATAATTAAAAACTTGCGGGTACCCGACCCAACCCGTCCTGCCCTGCCCCGGATATTTATTTTTTTATTTTTATATACATACTATAAAATAATAATTTAAAGTTAAATAATTAATTTCATTGAACAAATTGCATTACAAATATGAGAGACTATTTTAAAAATGTGCACATTTTAAAAAATGTGCTACTTATTTTAAACTTTTATTGATTTTGAATTCTTTTAATTTTTTTCTTTTATCTTATACTCTCTTCGCATGCTTATTTCTTGGTGGGAGACTTTTTGAGAAAAAATCTTTATTAAATCTTAGATGAATGTGTAAAATATAAAATTAAATTAGTATAAATCATTTTTTTAATTAAATGATAAATGGGGCGGGGCGGGTACCTGTTGATCCGGCCCTATCTCAGCGGGAACTCTATAATCAGGTACTCGCTGATATACCGGGGGGTTAAGAATCAAAAAATGGCTGACCCGCAAGGTGCTGGTCGGATCAGTCAAATGGTGGATGAGAGTAAGTACCCGATCCGCCCCACCCCTAGTCTTGAGATAACTCTCATTTAATTTTCCTATAATTACTTGTAGTCAAAATGTTCTCTTTCCTTATAATTTAAGTTCATTAAATTAAAGAAAAACAAAAACCCTTGGCTGATCTTAGGAAAACACCGTGATAACATAATAAAACAATAAGAAAAATCCCTGCCATATCGTACGCATGCACATAAAACAGGATGCCACTGATTGTCACCTAGAAGGTGAACTAATTGTAGCAGTGCCTACCTGAGAGGGGACAGAACTACAGAATCTGGGGTTTCCTTCTCATGCAGCATCGCAGGTACCACTAGGTTAATGGTGGTGCTTTTCTTCATACTTCTATACATCTGAAAAAGCCATGATTGCAATTAATTCAGATCAGATTTAATTTTTTAAAAGGGTAGTCTAAGCATATATATAATTTCTTTTTCATATTTTTCCCTTTAGATGATCTCTGCAGCAATGTTGTACATGCTATTATATATTTTGCTAGAGGAAAAGAACTCACTCAGTCTCTTCAGCAATAACATTCTATTTTGGGAAATATCTTTAACATAAATATACAGTACTAATCTGCTGCTTTAATCTCGTAGATAATGGTTCGTTAAATTTTGTTGAAAGGTACAAAAGAAAAGTGAATTAAATAGACAGACTACACGTATATGGGGGACATGTTTGGTCACATGGCAATTCTTAAAATGGACGAGTAGATAGGTAGGCCTATATATATGTGTGTGTTGTTAAAATGGGTTGCAGGTCATCTGTTACGTGCTAAGGTATAATATTCATATCACACATTCTCATATATTGACACGTATCTTTTTCAAGAGTTAAATCTAACTAGGGGTATTATTGTGACAATTTAAGGAATATAGTATCAATCTATTTAAAGTGTGTAACAGGAAAATTATAATTAATGTATAACAGAAGATCCATTGCCGTTAAAATACTGGAAACCTTATTGCTTACTCAGGTATGGTGTTTCCAGGATTTAAAGCCACATGGAATAAACTACCGAGAAGTACTGATTCCAAGGGTAAAAACTAATCAAAGGATTTGCGATCATGATGATCTAGGTCAAGATGGATGAAGTGAAACAAATTTAAACCTAAAGAGTATAGGATATGTATGCCAACAAAGAAAGCAAGAGAAAGAAAAAAGTGAAATAGAATGCATTACTTTGTGGTCTAAACTAATTATAGAATAAACGAACTAATGAGAGATACATTTAACCTAGTTAGTGTTTGGCTAGGCCTAATTCTAGGCTTGATCTAGCTACCAAAACTTGTGGGGGTTACACAATTATTGGAAAACTTGAACACTTCTATCTTACTGAAACCCCTTTTTGCAATGATCAATCTGATACCCCTTTTTGCAAGCCCAAATTCTCAGACATTAATTTAGACTATCTTGGATTTTCGAAAAATGTTAAAAGCTCCTATAAATTTACTTCCTCGTTCTGTTTTTCTTCATTCTGTCCATTTGGTTTTCTTTCTTTTGAAACTTTTTAAGACACACATAAACGTGCAAAGTGTCTGTATCTATAGTTGTAAAGCACTCCTTTCATCCCCTATTAGACATAGATGAATATTAATCTTCATAGTTTTCTGATTTCTTAACTAAATTTTGTGTACTTAATTCTCTTTTTCTGTCTTCTATATGGTCTATTTCTTCTTGTTGAACAAGTTTCAATTCCAAAAGAGCACATAGTAAGTTCTTTCGAGAATCCGAGCCTAGCAAGCTTTTCAGTCGTGAAAGCTCCCTAGGACATCAACGATTCTACTGCTGCTTTCAATGTTGATAATTTGCATGTTCCTTCTTAACCAAAATAGAGAAATTGACAAAAAGGGAAATATATCTAATTGCTATACCTGCAGATGACTTTTGACATGAGACACTTGAAGCCCTCTCACTCCCATCATTTGAATGATTCTCTTTGGTGTTGCTTCTGAAAAATTTACTGGTTCAGTCACAAATTCAACATATATTCCCATACCAAGCAATATATTTATCCATATATTCTTACTATAGTATCATGATTAAGTAAGAAGATATGAAGATTAACCATAATTATAAAATTGTTTATTACAGTAGCAGTGCTCTTACAACAAAAATTTTAAAAGTACTAGGCGATTTACTGTAAACCAGATTAATTAGTCTTATGCTAACAAAAAAAGTCCTTGGAAAGCAGCTTAATATGTATGCCATACTACTCGTCCTTGTTTATGGAAAATCTTTTTTCAGTAGTGAAAAGGAGAAGAAAAAGGGTATTTCTTGAGGAATTTAAACTTACGATGCTTTCCACCAAGTTGATCAACTGCTTCAACAAAGTGCTCATGAAGCTCCGGCGTCCATCGGAGACGGGGACAAGCCGATTTCTTGTACTGCCTAACGCCAGTTTTATTGCAGCGCTCCATATTCGGCAGGTTTATTGGACGATCAGGAATGCCCAACATAAATACAAATGAGGGTTAGATCACATACACATGGGAAAGGGATAAGATGTTTTGCAGGGTTCCTTAGACTTTTGTGAGCTTGGGCAGACTTTGAGAAAAATTTTCTAATGCCTCAACATTAGGGGTAAAAACTGAAACTAATAATTGAAGCAACTATTGTTTGTTTGTTTGACAATTAGTTACAACTGATTGGAGAATTAATCTAATTATCCTTTTTATTGAACTTGCTGATATTCAACCCTCAGAGCTAAAAACAAAAAAACTTAAAGAGTTCTTTGGACTAGTGTTCTCACACATGGTATAGAAAATCTGATTAGTGGATTTCAGTAGAAATCTTTCTAAGTAAATTCCATTATAGTACTTCCCAGAAAATGCACATATATAGATCCTTGGAAAATATTTTCCTACATCCTGAAAAGATATGAGGCGCCGAAAAAAGTAGATGAATCTTCTTAATAAAGGCAAATCATGACTACAGTACTTGTGTGCAACAAAAAGTCAAATTTAAGAATTTTTTTCGAAGCTTTGTAGAACCTAACTCTTGCATTTTGATTTGCCCAGGTGGGCTGGACCATTTGACACCAAAATTTTCAAAAAAAAATTATTTTTGGGTTCCAGCTTTTGCTTGTTAAATGCGGTCAAAATAAACATGCCTATTTGTCGATTCAATACAAACTTTTTCATTGAAGAAGTTTAGAAGATATGATCACCGAAGAAGTGTCTCAATCCATGATTGAACAAGGGCTAGAGAGATAGAACATGGACCACATTATTAAGAACTTGACGTTGTTGAACAGCCAACAGTTTCAGCAAAGGAATTTTCCTGTACCATAATTAGTTTGGGCAGACTTTTATGAATTATTTGGTAATGTTGATGCAGCGTGACGACTAAAATTACGCTGTTTTTAGAAACAAATATTAGTAATTTTCAAGCAATTTATTCGTTTATGGTAACAAAAGTCAATAAGAAATTCAAAAACAAGTTAAACAAAAACTTTTTAATCGGCCCCTCACACTTATAGCAATTGAGGTTGAGTTAATTTAGATGGATTAATTTTTCAAAAGAAAAAAAATTGACCAACATAATCTTCCCAAGAAAGAGAAGTAAAATAGAAAAAAAAAAAGAAAAGAGAAGAACAAATCAAAGCTCATATGATTATAAGATACTTACACTCCACTCAAACCACGCATACTTTTCAATGATGCCGAAATTGAACAAGTAGTAAGCCACGGATCTGGTGGCATGCATACACACCTAGGCAACTGAATGAAAGCATTCGATGAATTAATTGTCATCATTAACTTACTAATAACATTATGATTAGGATATGATTTCATTTGTTTAAGTACTAATGAATGTCCTCCAACCTAGGACATGTACATATATATATATATTTTTTTATTATTCATTAGTTTCTCTAGATAGTGGCTAAAATTCCTAATGCATAGTTAAAGTTCCATGAAATGGCAAAAGCAAAGCAAATTAGTCAAAGCGTGAATTAATATAGGATAGATACAAAAAAATAAAAAGGTGACCAAAAGGCATGTTTGTCTCAATCTTTATACTATCACTTTCATGCAAACAAAAGGCGGTGCCTACTTTTGGACCCATATTTTTTGTGTCATGCGCTGCCGTGTACAACACTAAACTCTACCAAAATTCAATGTTGATAAAAACAAGAAAGCTAAATATAGAATGGTTACCACAAATCCAAGTATGTTAGAGCTCCAACTTCATTTGATGATTTGAAAACTGTCAATGGAGATGATGTGCATATTTTTCGTGAAGCTGCAGCTTTGAGAGGTCATTTCAATTTGAATTAGATAACTTTCAAGAACAATGTTTAAATGAAGCATCTTCATAGCACAGGTCCTATGGTTTAAGGAAACTGTTGGCTACTATATTGGTTTATTTTCCTCCTGCTAATGCTGAAGAGGTACGGCAAAAATTTGAGAAATTTTTATTGAAGATTTTCGCCAAGCATCATCGGATGATCATGTTCATTATCAAGTTGTACCTTATATAAGCAATTTTTTTGGAGTCTTTGGGCAAAGACATTAATACTTTTGGCTTAGTTCCACAGTTCTTGAAATTTAATGTTTCAGAAAACAAAAGTGCAAGAGAAACCATTAGTGAGACCAACATTTCTGTATCAGAGGCAGATCCAATATTTATCCATCAATTTAATTCTGGACAAAAAGCTGCTTTTAATACTATGATAAATGATGCATATGCAAAGAAAAAAGGATGTTTCTTCATAGTTGGTATATGAGGTTGGTATATGAGGTACTGGAAAAGCATATCTCTGTCCAGCTTCATTTGCTGAAGTCAGATGAGAGAAAATAGATGACAGATTAATGGGTAAAAATGCCTGGTTGGTCCTCAAACTTTTGAATTTGTACACGCTTAGCCCTTCAACTATCATTTGTATAATTTTAACCCTCAAACTTCTAAAAGTGTACATTTCCGACATTTACATTCATTGAGGCATCAAAAACCAACGGAATCTGAATTACACAAAATAGACAAGCGAAAGGTGAATGGGTAGTAAGTTAACATAGTAAAAAGATAGTCCAAAATTGGAGGTATTTTCATTCAATGCAAACAGGACCAAATAAATCACATTTTTGTAATCCCCATGCCATAAGGAGTTTATTGGTATATCCTTAAAAAAAAGGACTTTATTGGTATTAAATACCAGAGAATTTGACATCAAATGATCCCTGAAATACCCCAAAGCAGTCCTAAGAATGCAAAGTTGTTTAGTGAAAATTCAAATGATTTCATGCCAAATTCCTTGTCTATTTGAACTCTCCTCACTGACAAACATTTTGATGTAAAGCTTCAAAGATTTGGTAAATGATTTGCAAATTGGTGGTGAAACTATCATTCATTAGTTTTGATGCGATCATAGGTTCCAATGGTTCATGGTCAAATCATGGAAGAGGTTGATTCGGTGAAGATTCACAAATTCACAAATTCGAGATCCCTTCCTTGATTTTCCTTAATTTCCTTAGTTTTAGTGATTTATGTTAGTTATAAGTCATTGTCATTTGTTTAATGGCTGGCTAAGTGTCATTTGCTTTCTTAAAATTCCAACCGTGTGTTTAGTTAAATTCCAACATTGATTTGTTGGTTAATTAGTTAATTGGAGTTGTTAGTCAGTTGAATAAATGGCTAAAGGTCATGTGGACCATTATTGAGCCGATTTGAGTTAGTTGGTTTCTTATTCTATTGAAGTTAAGGTTTAGGAAAGTAGCTAATTGTTTCTAAGTTTGTTTAGGTCTTTGAGTCTTATAAAGGTTATAAATAAGTCTTCAACATTAACGTTTTCCACAAGATGAATGATTAATTAAATTTCGGAAAAAACACCTTGTGTTTTTCGTGAGTCTCTTATCTAAGAGCTCCAACTTGAATACTGAAAATGATTCTTGAGTTTTCAATCGATTTATCAATTCAAAATCACGTTGAATTGTGGCATCATTCTATCCTTCTAATCAATCTCGAGTGGTCCTTGATCATTTAGAATCCATTCTTTTGTATTCATGGCTTGATCAAAAAGATTCTTCCGCTGCTTGATTAATTTGGTTTTTTCAGACAGGTTCTTGTTGGATCGAATTTGCATCAAGTTCAGATTTACTCATATCTAACAAGATTTACAGAAAATTGAGAACAAATTTGGAATCTAACATGAAATACAAAGTCTAGAGATATAATTTTATCTAAGTTTTAGAGCATTAAAATAGGGATCAACTCTGGTGAACAGTGATCACTGGCTATTGACCGTAATTGTAGCAATGACTGGACGTGATTGAAGGAAAAGGATGATCAAAACTACATCAAATTTGACGTCAATTCCGTAATGAGAATGATAGTTGAAATTGGCAGAAATATTAGAAATGTTAACGTTGAGAAGTTGGAGAGTTAAAGTATATAAATAATAGTCAAAGAGTTAAAAGTGTAAAAAAAAGGGCTAACCAAAACTTTTGCTCTAGATTAATAGATAAATGCTTGTTTCATAGGTTGCAAGCTATGTGGTGTAAATTGATAATACATAAAATACAGTCTATCAATTCTAAACTTCCAAGACTTTGCAAGAATAACAAGATTCAGCCAGTAGAAAATCATCAATATATAGGCAGAAGGAATCTAGAACTATAGAACATAGATGACATGCATTTTCTATGAAAATTCTTTCAAATTCCAGTTTTGGTTTTTTTTTTTGAGGTATCGGAATTGATCTCAACTTGCTACGGGCTGGAACTTGAGTTCTTTGATCCCAAACCAGGATTTGCACCAAGGCATGCTATTCACGATACTTTATCATTCTTCCAATGAATCATTCTGGAACTTCGTTACACACAAAACTCGCAGCAGCACAAGATAAGCTGACGGGGCACTCTACTTCAGAAGATACTGCATGCAAAAGGAGATACCTCTTCTTTCTCCAATAGCTAAATCACTAGGAATTCTCTATCCAGATCCAAGCACGAATGACAGCCCAAACAGTGATGAAGCATAATTCAACAAGGTTTGAACTGCTACAGCCTATAATGTCAATGGATACAGATGTTAAATATGTACCATCTCTCTCTATTCTCAAATGATTTATAGAATTTTATGGAAGCTTCACTCTAGAATTCTTAAGAAACAAATTTGGTGCGAATGTGATAGCTAGTTATGTGAAGTGGCAAACTTAAAAGCGGTTTTTCCTTTCTTCAATCGACCTAAAGCTCTACAAATAACAATGCTTTTAAACCCAGACCATTAAGTGAATGATTTTCGCTTCATTGTTTCAAACAATTCAATCTAGCTAAAAGAATTTTTCTCTTTTTTTTTATTTTCATTATTAAGTAACTTGGGTGACTTTGAAACTAAACAAAAAAAAAAATTAGTATGAACTAGTTTGATCGGTTTTGATCAGTTCAACTGATTTTTGACCGGATTGAATGATCGAATTTACTAGTGATCAGACCAATGTTAGGTTAACTCACGATTCGACAGTCAA